GGGAAAGAGGAAAGAAAAGAACAAGAAAGAAAACAGATGCCAGACACATTTTCACTATTATGCCATTCCCTGTTCCCCTAGTCATTTCAAATATTTTCCTTTTCCATTTTATCTTGGCACCTCAAAGCTGATTCCTCATGGGAAAGCTTTTATTTCCCATTTTAATCTTAACTAGTATTTGAGAACTAGCAATTCAAAGAATTACACCTTCCCACAGACTGAAGAGATCAAGGATTTGCAAATCCTTAATATAATCAGATCAGTGGTAGCCACTAAAAAATGAATAGTTTTTAACTAAATGAGCAAACATGTTCAATAGCCAGGTTTCTGCTCCTATTCTAAATTTTGCTCAAGAAGCCTAATAGGAACCTATTGTGCATCACTGATCACATTACAGTTAATGCTTGTACAAACCCCTTCCACTGGAACACAGGGCAAAGATCTTGCGGGCACTGGGGATCTTGCACTCATTTGACTGCATCAGTAGCATCCCTCCAATACAGTATAGATGCTGCTGCTGTGATCAGCTCCATAATCATACCCTCTCCTCTGCCACCTCCGAACATTCAAAGATCATTTTAAATCTATATACTGCCAGCTAGTTAAGCATACTCGTTCTCAGGTGTACGAAGGCATCCAGCATTTCCTGATCTTCTGTAATTTCCCAGGAAGAGGCTGAAATTAAATTCAACTGCACTACAGAACCTCTGGAAATGCTTAAGTGAGAAGGGAAGCACCTAAGGGAAGCACACTGGATTTCCATCTGCAGAAGCAAACCTCTGCCCTTAGCAAGGTGTGTGGAAGCTGCATCTTAGCTGACAGATAAAACACAGAAATAGGTTAAAGGAGATGCAGTATTTCCCTAAAGCTTGCCATGATGTTGTGATCAATTTTCCTCTAAAACAAGCCTACATAGCTGAACTCACATTCACCAAGCCTTCAGTGTCAATGAAGATTACGATCACTGAGTTAATTTCATTGGAGAGCATCCCAAAGGTATAGGAAAAAACCTGCCATATATATATACACATACAGATATAACCTGTATATAGATAAATCCAGCTGGCGGCTGGTCACAAGCGGTGTCCCCCAGGGCTCAGTCCTAGGGCCAGTCTTGTTTAATATCTTTATCAACGACCTGGATGAGGGGATTGAGCGTGCCCTCAGTAAATTTGCAGATGACACCAAACTGGGTGGTAGTGTTGATCTGCTCGAGGGGAGGAGGGCTCTGCAGAAAGACCTGGACAGGCTGGATCGATGGGCCGAGGCCAACTGTATGAGGTTCAACAAGGCCAAGTGCGGGGTCCTGCACTTGGGTCACAACAACCCCATGCAGCGCTACAGGCTTGGGGAAGAGTGGCTGGAAAGCTGCATGGTGGAAAAAGACCCCGGGGGTACTGGTTGACAGGCAGCTGAATATGAGCCAGCAGTGTGCCCAGGTGGCCAAGAAGGCCAATGGCATCCTGGCTTGGATCAGGAATAGTGTGACCAGCAGGAGTAGGGAAGTGATCGTGCCCCTGTACTCGGTGCTGGTGAGGCCGCACCTTGAATACTGTGTTCAGTTTTGGGCCCCTCACTACAAGAA